TTTCCTGGTTCTTCCTGTCTCCCTTCCTATGAACTATGTAGGTAGCCTGAAATTCAGCCGTCTCCACCATTCCCTTGGTGATTTGATCCAGTCTTTAATGTTAAATTCTCAATTTTATCTCCTGATGGATATCTTTCCTGAATTAATGATTAATATATTCTATTATTTAAATCACTCCCATCTAATTGCTTTCCTTCTTTCAGAGATGCCCTTATTTTGGTAAGACACACTGCCACTTGTTGCTGCTCAAGCCAAAAAAAACTCACCAAACCAAAAACCAAAGATTTACCTTTGGATCTTGCTTTCTGTGTGGAACTCACAATCTGTAAAAAAATCATATTGACTGTTTCTTAAAAATCTGTATTAACCCCAGCTGATTTATTTTTATTGCTATATTAAGCTACTACCCTTTTGCATCTATAATAATTGCAGTAGCTGCTTTAATCTAGTTTTCAACGTTTCCATGTTTGTGTCCCTCGTCTATTCTACAATAATGGTAGGAGACTCCTCTAAAAATACCTCAGACCATATTAATTTTCCACTCAATGTCTTCCAAAGGTTTTCCAACTCACTGTGTAAAAATTAGTAAGGCTCAAATCATTTAAGCTTCTGTTTCTTCTAAATTATTATTTGACTCATCACTTACTTGACTCTAGCCATTCTAGCTTTCTTCTGGAGTGTTTTAATGCTATAGTGATATTTTAATTCATCTGTGTTTTTAAATAAACTTACCTCAGATACCTGTATGGCTTATTTTGCAATCCTTTGTTTTGAACAAGAGATCTGAGGTTTTAAGGGCTTCCTGAACCCCTAGCTACCCGGGTTCCATTTTTTCTGAACAGCTATTATTCCATCTGTTATCTTATACTTTGTTGGTTTATTTTCATTAGAATGAAAGTTCTACAAGGGATTTCCCAAGGCCTAGAAAAATAGTACATGAGTACTTGTTAAATGTTAAAATGCTTTTTCTTTCTCTCTTTTTTAAAGATATGGCTTTCTTATGTAGTTCTGGCTGGCTTTGATTCACGATGTACAAAGTTAGCCTCGCACTTACAGTAATATTCCTGTCTCAGCCTCTTAAGTGCTGGGATCACAAGTGTGCACAACCACTGGGCTTTTAATTTAAATGATTTGAACTTGTGCTACTAGCGGTGTGAATTTTAAACAATTTACATCAACAGAATCACCAACATTCAATTTATATAAAATAGGAATATATTCTCATGGCACTATCCTACAAGTTAAATTCAACATTGATGAAAAGCTTACTACAGAATAGGTACTCAAATACTATTATCTTCATCTATTCTTTTTCTGCTTCCTAAGAAAAGCTCTAACATTTTTTTCCCATAATTTGAGAAACAAATAGCAATGAGACAGTTTCAAATCAAATTAGGACAGTTCCAATAATTCACACATTGCAGACTCTCTTCCTAGTGGTTATTCTCTGTACAAGATGAAGACATGATATCCTATTTACAAACACTATTAGAACAAATCCCTCTATTAAGAGAATGTAACTATATATCTATCCTAACCATTTTGAATACACAGATACAAAATGGACATTCATCTGTATCCCCTTTTTTGTTTAGTTCTGTCATTTGAATATTATAGGTGTGTTAACTCAGCAAAATATTCCAAAATAGTCCAATAGTCCACAATAGTATTGGATCTTCCTCTTGATTGGCAGTGTCAGAGACTGTTGACCTGAGTCCCCTACAGCTCAACATAACAGCATGGCTTTACTTATACGTCATTTTTATACTTTTCTGCTGGTTGATTAAGACCAAGATAAAGCAAGACCTATGCAACAAGAGTTGTAGCTTTTCGGTCTGGTAAGGTCAGTGAAATCCCCTCAGGATTTATCCTGAGATCCTGTACCTCAGATTGTAGATCCTTTGTCAGTGTCAGCCATGTGGATGAGTCACAGCTATTGCTTGGCCAATTTGCTCTCTGTGAAAGCCTGAGAATGTTTTCTCTCCATGTGACTCTCCTTAGGCACACTCTACATCACTGATCACTTTTCCTGTTTGGCCCCATAATCTCCTTGATCAGAAAATTTGGGACACAACTGAGTTACATGACGTTACAGTACAAGTACTCATATATCCTGAGTTTTAATTGATCTTGGAAGCCTAGGGCCAAAATGTTGGCTTTCCTTGTGGCCCTCCTTTTTCTCTAATTTTGGTCTGCAAATGTAGGTTGTTAACCCTCCAGAAGAGAAGCTTATTATTATTACCATACAACCTAGGCTGTTAAACTTAATCTCACTATCTGTCAGAATATCCAACATCTTAGACATAGCATGGCACAGGTATTTTTCATCAAGTATTGATATGTTGAACTTTAAGTCCCTACAAAATATGAAAAAACATTAAAAAATTAAAATATATTTTAAAAATATGCATAAAGAATTATATACTTCTTACGTTTACACATAAGTCCAGAAATCTAACCATATACAACCTTGTAGCAGGACAGTCCCGCAACATTCCTTTTCCTGTCTCCTGCCTTCATTCACCACCCTCTTCTTTTTGAACAGTCCTTTACCCGAGAGACAGCATGGCAGCAACTGGCATGTCATGACAAGCAGCCCACATTCAGAAGACCAGAATGACAGGCACTCCAAGCATTAACCTACTATTATAAATTGCCATCTTCAGTGCAGTTGCTTAGTTCACAGGTATCTGTATATATAGTTAGTCAGGGTAAGAATCATTCCAATTAACAGCTAGATTCAAAAATCTTTTGAAAAGATTCTCAGGATCATTGCCTACCCATCTTGTACATATAACAACTGTATGCCTCCTAGCTCTTCTCCTTTCCCTCTCTTATTTAGTCCTCAAGTTCTTGCTTTCCTTTTGTATTATACCTATTTGTATTTCTTCTTTTGCGTTCTTATACTAGGGAAATTATACGATATTTACACGTGTGTCTGGTTTATTTCACTTATATCTTCAAGTGGCATCCACTTCAATATAAGGGCTTTGAGTTTATCATTCTTTATAGCTGAGTAATATTCCATTGTATAAAAATACCACATCTTTTTCATCCATTCCTCAGGTGATGGGCAGCTTGGTTGTTTTCAAGATTTGGCTATCACAAATTGTGCTGCTATAAATATAGGCTCACATATATCACTGTGACATGATGTTTTAAGATCCTCCGGGAAAATTCCCAGTGGAAGGATAGCTGGTTTAAATGGGATTTCCAGTTCAAGTTTTCTAAGGCGTCTCCACACTGATTTCCATAATGGTTGCACCAGTCTACATTCCCACCAGCAGTGTAGAAGGGTTCTTTTTTCCCCACAGCCTCTCCAACATTTGTTGTTGGTTGATTTCTTTATGCTAGCCATTCTTTCTGGGGTGAGATGATATCTCAATGTTGTTTTAATTTGCACTTCACGGATGGCTAGTGATGTGGAGCATTTTTTCATATATTTACTCACTTCTTTAATTTCATCCTCTGAGAAGTGTGTGTTCATCTCAGTTGCCCATTTCTGGATTGGGTCTTTAAATTTTGTGGCCCTAGTGTTTTTTAGTTCTTTATAAATTCTAGAGAGCAGACCTTTGTCTGAGTACTTATTTGTCATGATTTTTTCCAGATTTGTGGGTTGTCTTTTCACTTTGTTGGTAATTTCTTTTGACATGCAAAAACTTCTCAATAACAGCAGGTCCCAGTTGCTAATTTTTTCAAGTGTTTACTATGCGATTTGATTTTTGTTCATTAACTCTTTGCCTACTCCTATATCTTCAAGCGTTCCTCCTACTTTCTCTTCCAAGAGATGTAGTGTTTCTGTTTTAATGTTTAGATCTTTAACTCATTTTGACTTTAGCTTAGTGCATGGTGATAGACCTGGGTCAAGTTTTAGTTTTTGGCATGTAGAGAGCCAGTTTTTAGCACCATTTGTTAAAGAGGCTATCTTTCTTCCAGTAAACGTGTTTGGCTCCTTTGTCAAAGATAAGGTGGCTTAGTGTGTTCATAGGAGTTTTAAGCTCTAACAATTTTAATGTTTTTTTATTTTTATTATTTGTTTGTTACAGGGTCTCATTATGCAGACTTGTACTGATCCTCTTGTCTCAACCTTCCCAGCGCTCGGATTACAGGTGTGCACCACCATGCCTGGTTTCAGGGCTGGCACACAGTGTGCTTGGGTCCCTGGGAATCACACTTGGTTGACCGGTCAGCTATCTCCCCAGCCCTAATCATTTTATTTTGGAGCAATAAATTTCTACATTTTCAAAATGAGAAGTTTTAGAAATATGAATGCATTTTTCAAAAATTATCTTTGATTCATGTTTATGTATGAAGGAACTGTAGATGAACTATATCTGTTTAAGTAGAGCAGCACTAAGTAAGGTTTAGAGAGTATACTGCCTGATAAAGAGAACATTTCCTTTATTAAATTCACTTTTTAAGTCTGAGTATTAGTATTTTGATTTTGAAAAATCTTTTATTAATTCTTGAGACACCAGAAATTATATACCAAATGCCATTTTTTCTTAACATCTCTAATGATGTTAGCTAGTATGTCACATTATTTACCATAATTTACATAAAAATTCTGATGTAATTCTCAACTTTGCATTTTTCATATTCCTTTTCTGCTAGAAATGTTTTTCATTTATTAAATAAAAAGTTAAAAGTTTTTACATTAATTTTTATCCTTTGGATTCTCTGGAATACCTGCAAAATTAGTAATTTCCTAGTAATATGATATGACTAAAAATACCCACTAAGGAGCTCCCTGTAATTAAAAAAAGGGGAAAAAAAGAATATTAAAAAGAAAAAAAGGGGTGAGAAGGACTAAAAGCTACTGACTTATGAGCTCTTCATAAATTCTCTAAGACAGATAAACAGACTTCTTAAAATATAAAGAATATTAAATGCAACTTTTATTTTCAAGGTGATGCAACCGTATATTCAAACTAAAGAACTACATATAATTTATGCTTGATCAAAAACAACACAAAATATATTAACAACTCAAGCAGACAAACCACTTTCTAAAGAAAAACCCTCTGTTTTATGTTAAGTTTTTCTGTTGAGTATGAGCAAAGAATTTAAGGTTATTCTATGCCACTAAAGACTAACAGCAATGCTAATGCCATCTGAATAGGATATAACTACATAAAACAAATATTAGGGTTATTTTCTTTGGAAAGTTATCTTGCAAATGAAAAGAAGCAGCCCAAATCCGCATACTGTAATAGCTGTGCTCTTCAAAATTCTACTCTTCCACGTAGATACTTCTTCCATTAATGGTATATGAGTTGGATCATTTTCCCGTTCATTTTGCAACTAATATTTAGAATGCAAAAAAATTAGTGCATGTACACTGAAAATAACACATATTTGATTTGAAAAAATTCACACTAATTCAGCTGGTTTAAATTCAGGCAACTTAAGATTCTTAAAGGAAAACTTAAAGTGAACAAGATAGTCATCTTTTTTTTTTTTTTACTAGCAACCTAGTATAAATTATAAATTTCACATTAACAAATGCTTTCATAAGTTATCATATTTTAAAATGCTATTTTTATGTCATCAGATAAAGTTCCTTAAATATCAGCTTAAATTTCTATTTTACTTGTAATTATTCATATGTTTCCTTCTATATTAAATATCAATTAATGTCTTGTAAGAGTGAACCATTCTTACAGCAAACCTACTATAGATGAAATTTAGTGAAAACTGGAAGATAAGATACTAATACTAGAAGGTGAATACTTTAAATATAATAGCGAAGAAAAATATCTACAAAAACTTCAGTGGTCCTTTTGGTATTTTTCCCCATATACGTATCTGCTGACAAGTCATCTGTTTCTTTAAAACAATGCCCTTCTGTTATTATTGGTAAACTCCAAAATATGACAAGCTTAACAGGCATGATAGTATATTTACAAACGTGGAAGCCTTCATAGTTCTCTAACATCAAATTTCAGCAATAGAAGTACATTACTCAGTTTCACTCAGTTTTTAAATTCTACAGAAATTTTGTGTTAAGCCTTTCCTAAATGTGGGTTCACCTATGCACATGTGTGTGAGGAAGAAAGACACAGAGAAAGAGACAGTGAGAGAGAGGAGAGGGGAGAGGAGAGAGAGGAAGAGGAACAAAGGAAACATAGGAAGAGGGAAGGGAGGAGGGGAGGGAAGTAAGATGGTTGTTAGGAGGGGGTAGAAGAGGGAGAATAAGCAGAAACCAAAAGATCCTTTAAAGATAAAAAGAAGCAAGCACATTTATAGAGTGATATTTACTAGAAACATCCTGTGCTGGAGTGGTGATATAAATACTTTAAACATTAGCAGAATAACGACTTCTAAATTTGACAATATAAATATTTAATTTAAAAAGTCTGCAAAATTAATTTTAAATTTATAGCAGAAAAACGGACTTCATTGCCAATCTCATTAAGAATGTATTCTAGGTCTAACTTCCAAATGGATTCATTCAGCAACAGATTCCTTTTTGACACTGATGCTCCATTTACTGAATCTTCAGACAGTCATTCCTTTTATTAACCAATTACTTAGAATGACCCTTTCTGACAGGAGCTGTCAGTGTGTTGGTTCGAAAGAGACTGATGTGGTGTTAAAGTCTAGCCTTGACCTCTCCCACCCTCTCTCTTTGTTACCTCCATACACTTATCTGTGATAACTCATGTTTCTTTTTAAAAAAATCTTCCATTATTATTGGTAAACTAAAATACTGCAAGCTTCACAAGCATGATAACACAGTCACACACCTGGAAATCTTCGTAGTTTCCTAAGATCAAATCTCATTATGATCATTAACGCTTGGGTAAAACTAATCTAAAAAAATTAATTCATTAGCTTGAAAATTCATTAATTTTCCCCTTCCCAAAAAAACTGCCATTCTAATCAATGCATTTTTAAGGCCAATAACACCACATGGTAATGTGTAAATTTTAGGTAGAGAGGATCACACATGCAAAAAGACCCTCTTTGTATTACAGATTAAGATTTTTATCGATTCACATTTTAAAAATAAACATGGTAGCTGATTATACTGCTTATCCTTGAGAGTTATTATTTCTCTACAGCAAGCTTTTAAAGTTCATTTATTTCAGAAAACTCTAACTTCATCTTAGTTCTCTGCACCCCATGTTTGTAAATTCAGATTAGTAACTAATTGTGAGGCTAGTATGTCTTAAGAGACTTTCCTGCATTAGAAGCTGATGCTTTGCAGGAAGTTTCTGTGTACGAATCCTTCCACATTTTTCTTGGATTCCCATGCAAAACATCATGGTAAGTGAAATCAACACCACTTTCTTTCAATTCTTCCAGATAAGATGGAAGTGAAGATGAGTGATGCTACAATTTTTGTGTTGTCACCAAGTTCTAGCGCTAGTGAGCTTTTGCAGAATAGGTGCCTGACATGTAACAGACACTCATATATTCGTTGGATAAAATCAGAAAAAATACAACTGCTAAGATGCTCCTTTCGCTAGACAGGAGTAATTTTTAAAAAATACATATTTCAAATATATTGCTCATTTTCACATGTAGAATACTGCTATTTTGTAGAATGTGCTTTACTACTCTTACATTTTTTGTAAAAATAACTTTTTCAGCTGGGCACAGTAGTGCACAACTACAATCCTAGTGTTCTGGAAAGCTGAGTCTCAAAGATCACAAATTTGAGCTTAGAATGAGCAACTCAGTGAGACTGTCTCTATGAAAAAAGTAAAAAAGGTCTGAGAATGTAGTTCAGTGTGAAGGCTCTGGTTGCAACCCTAGGTACCATGAAATAAACAAACATTCTTCTGTTTAACATAGGTTAATAACTAGTGTGACAGATTACTTGAAACATGTATAGTTTAATGAAAATAATTTGATAAAATAGTAGTGAAAATATAAATTACAGGTAAACTATAAAAATTAATGTATCACCTAATTTTCATGTCAAATATGTTACAAAAGTTTTATAGACATCAAATTTACTTATTAAATAGTTCCAAAGAACACAGAAGTGAATTATTGACTCAGTGTTTCCCTGCATTCTCCATATTCAACAATGGTCCCTATTTTAGCAGCTTAGATTTTGGTACAGCTAATTTTCTTTATGGGAAAAAATATCTACCTATTCTTAAATCCAAATATATACTATTTCTATATGATTATAAAAGGACCAGGCACCATCCTACAATGAAATACTGAAATTACAGAAGATACTGTCTGACCAATAGAAAGAATATTTCATTTATAATATTTCATTCTATGTGGCCTTTTGCATCTATATAAGTATATACAAGTATGTAACTCCTAACAAGCAGATACTTGATTTTCATTATTTTTTGACTGGTTATGAAATTATGTTTTCTTTTCTCTCTCTTTTTTTTTTTTTTTTTTGGTGCTCATGATTGAATTTAAGGGTCTTCACACTCTATACTGAGCTTTACCCTCATGCCCTGTCTACACAATACTTTAAACATAAATGCACTATAATTTATTATTCTATTATCACTTGTGGTACATTCAGTTTTACTGTACTACTATACTACAGAAAAATAAAAGTATGCTTATCGTCCTTGGAATATCTTGCCAAATTACTTTTGAATGGATTCTGCCACCAGTACCACATAAGAATATAGTTTGGTGGGCTCTAACCAGAAAGAGTTTAACTAGAGTAGTACATTTTCCTTGCTCATCAAAGACATGAAAAGAACACCCTGTTTTTCAGTATACATTTCTTTAATGATCAACAATGTTTGCACACATATACCTATATAGCTTTCCTTTGGAAACTGTCCTTTTCCCACTTGTCTCAATATTCTCTGTCCCTCTTATCAAACTGCTTAACTGCCTAACATCTTTTGCTGTAAAATATTTCCCTTAGTCCCCCCACACTTATATGTTAAGTACATACCTTCTGAATTAGGTCTTTTAGCTTGCAGACCTCATCATTCAAATCTCCAACGTTGCTAACCAGTTCTTCACAAACTGAAGTAAAATTCTGGGGAGAAGCCCATTCTAGCACTATCTGTTAATATTTTCAAAAGTTAAACTTTAAATAATGGATCTGATTTTTCACTTATATACACAAAGACTATACAACATTCCTAAATATTAAATTATATAACTGAAAATGATTTTTCTTCAGCAAATGTCAGTAATTTTTATATGAACGGTAGAATCAACTTGCTAAATTCATTTCCAAAATACAAATATGTGCATATAATTTTCTTTATGGAAATTAGTATTAGTATGAATATTTATAGACATTATTTTGTGAAGATTTTTAAATGACATTCTTAGCACTACATAACAATCATAGAAAAAAGTACATTTACAGTTTTACTACAAAAAGCTAAAATGAAATAATAAAAAAACCTAGTTTTCTGCAAGTCACTTATACTTTGTAAGTGTAAAATTTCCTTCATTTAAGAAATTATATTGGTATAGCTTTTAAATAACACTAAACACACTGTTTTGTTTCAATTATTGCTTTAGCCTTTTGTCACTTTATATTTTAAACAATGAATTCCTCTTTAGAAACAAATAGTAAGCTCAATACTTGGATCAGTTTAATAATCATCTGACTCATTTTTCCTTTCTTGTGGGTAAAAACAAAGTTTTTCAGCTAGTTATTACATACCAGTAATATTAGATAAACTTACTTATTTTGATCTTATGCTAAACAATGGATATATTTTTTACCAGAATAGTACTGTTTATGGAATTATTATGAACTTATCTGAAGTATTCTTCAGCATTCATACTTATCATCACTTAATTTTTGTAGTATACCTTGTGAGAATTTACAGGTAACTCAGTAATGATATTCTGTACAGCTGTTATTAAATGGCCACATTGTTTGTTTAATTTTAGAAGAAAGTTGAGGAACTCATCACCACTACAGAAAGGAAACAAACAAACAATCACTTAAGAGTAATTTACTTCATTCTTTTGGGCTACTCAGTATCTAGTCATAAAATTAAATTGTTTGGCAACCCATCCAGGACCCCTATTAGGAGCTCTTTCTCTCAATAAATATTCCTACCCTTAAAAAATAAATTAAATTAAATTTTTCTAAAATAATTAGAGAATAGGCAATGTGTAAGAAAAACTGAAATGAGGATTAAGTACAAGAGAAAAAAGCAAAATTCTAATCTTTGGAATTTTAAGCTTCAAGATCCAGAGACACAATTATAATATTGTTATTTAAAGGCACACAGAAAAAAATGATGACAAAAGAACCAATATCTGAGTATCTATCCAATAACTATATTATTTTTATGTTTATTATTTACTCTGATTTTCCCCAAGAATTATCTTTTTTTTTAAATTTTTTTAAAGTTTATTTATTTATTTATTTATTTATTGTGTGTGTGTGTGTGTGTGTGTGGCCAGCTTAGCCCACCAGGGGGTGGGGCTGGCTGGCATGTGGTGCTGGGGGATCGAACCGTGGTCCCTGTGCTTTGCTAAGCTTGTTCTAAGTAGGTGCTTTAGACCACTGAGCCATC